TAGTTGGGGCTCGTATCATAGCCTCTAACCATAGAGAGAGAGAGAGAGAGAGAGAGAGAGAGAGAGTTGTATCATGGTGGGAGTTATTTTTCAATAAGGATTTCTCAACGTTATGAAGGAGTTATTTATTGAATTTGTAAGACAAAATGAGCATTTAAAGGAGCATATCATTAAATTAATAATTAAAATAAGCATACAAATGGGGGGAAATGAATGGGTAACTAAACAAATAAATTCTTATCATATTTACAAATTTTATTTCAATTTTAAAAAATATATGTTAAATTGAGTATTTATTGAGCTTATCCACAAGTTTTAAATTAAGCTTGAATCAATCTTATTCACAAAGCATTAATGGAGCATAAATATTATATGAAACTATTCAACAAACTTCTTAACAAGCTTATTCTCTTACTTTAAATAATATTGCTAGTGAACATAAATAAATTTAACAAAAAAAATTATTCAAATTTATTTATTTAATAAACGAGTATTAATATAAATGTTGAAATTTATTCAATTAATTAACAAAATAACATAAATGAGTTTTTATGTAACTGGCGATCCATTTTTTTGCAGTTTTTAAGTAATCAACAATATAGATCGGACACCGCATAAAATGAAAATCATCAGCTATCATTTATGTAAATCATCAATTAATACTCAATTCTCATCTATCGGCTGACACAACAAAGGAGAAGGAATGATTGCAAGTTCAACGTAATTAATATAGCGGTTCAATTGGGTTAAGTTTCATGATTATCTTTTACTCCAAATTTTCTTTGATATTGCATGACTTTCTCTCAATTATAACTACATAATTGCAACTAGAATACATTATTTTTAAATAAAATCAATTTAAAATAATTTATTTCATTATTTTCATTATAAGATAAAAAAATTTATAAACACCAATCAAAATATGTATATATTTCTATATCTAATATATAACCATTCATATTTACGCATACCACTCTATATTTTTACATCACATGAAAATAGCATAATTATTTCCACAAAAACAAAATACACATAGGGCTTTTAGCAATCCTATTTTAAACAAATCTGGTGTTGGCTCAAGATCGGCTCGAAAGATATTTGATATAAACATGGCTCATTTATTTAGATCCAATCCTTATCTTAGCCAAAATTCAAATCAATTTTCGAGCAATTAACAACCTTCGAGCTAAATTCGTTAAATTCACATCACTAGGATTGTTAATGATTAGATTTTAAGTCGAACAGGGGTCAGTTCAAAATCTGATCGAATAAAATCGATCCAAAATTTTTGTTCATAGCTCAGCTTGTTTATTTCAATCAGAACTAAAATTTGAATAATTTTCAAGTGGTTTAAGACATTCGAGCTAAATTCATAGCCCTGAATACACATTAGTGCTAAAATGTTACAAATAAAAAAATTGAATGTTATATATGTAACTAAAAACTATGTATGTGGTATTTAAGGCTGCCAAAATGGCTCTTTTTTTGCAAACAACTTATTTTAGACTCATTAAATAGCTTTTGTTAGATTCATTCGCTAAGCAAATATGTCTAACACGAACATGATTTTTTTGTGCTCGATGTATAAACTAGCTGAACACAAATAAATTTGAGTTCGTTCGTGTTGGGCTTATTTTGGCTCGAAGTAATTAAATTCTATAAACCATCCACCGTGGGGAATCAAACCCCAGACTAGAGTAGACTTACAACTAACAAGCAAATGCCCGACCAATTGATCTGAGTACGTAATATATAT